GCGTGTGCGTGTGCGTGTGCGTGTGCGTGTGCGTGTGCGTGTGCGTGTGCGTGTGCGTGTGCGTGTGCGTGTGCGTGTGCGTGTGCGTGTGCGTGTGCGTGTGCGTGTGCGTGTGCGTGTGCGTGTGCGTGTGCGTGTGCGTGTGCGTGTGCGTGTGCGTGTGCGTGTGCGTGTGCGTGTGCGTGTGCGTGTGCGTGTGCGTGTGCGTGTGCGTGTGCGTGTGCGTGTGCGTGTGCGTGTGCGTGTGCGTGTGCGTGTGCGTGTGCGTGTGCGTGTGCGTGTGCGTGTGCGTGTGCGTGTGCGTGTGCGTGTGCGTGTGCGTGTGCGTGTGCGTGTGCGTGTGCGTGTGCGTGTGCGTGTGCGTGTGCGTGTGCGTGTGCGTGTGCGTGTGCGTGTGCGTGTGCGTGTGCGTGTGCGTGTGCGTGTGCGTGTGCGTGTGCGTGTGCGTGTGCGTGTGCGTGTGCGTGTGCGTGTGCGTGTGCGTGTGCGTGTGCGTGTGCGTGTGCGTGTGCGTGTGCGTGTGCGTGTGCGTGTGCGTGTGCGTGTGCGTGTGCGTGTGCGTGTGCGTGTGCGTGTGCGTGTGCGTGTGCGTGTGCGTGTGCGTGTGCGTGTGCGTGTGCGTGTGCGTGTGCGTGTGCGTGTGCGTGTGCGTGTGCGTGTGCGTGTGCGTGTGCGTGTGCGTGTGCGTGTGCGTGTGCGTGTGCGTGTGCGTGTGCGTGTGCGTGTGCGTGTGCGTGTGCGTGTGCGTGTGCGTGTGCGTGTGCGTGTGCGTGTGCGTGTGCGTGTGCGTGTGCGTGTGCGTGTGCGTGTGCGTGTGCGTGTGCGTGTGCGTGTGCGTGTGCGTGTGCGTGTGCGTGTGCGTGTGCGTGTGCGTGTGCGTGTGCGTGTGCGTGTGCGTGTGCGTGTGCGTGTGCGTGTGCGTGTGCGTGTGCGTGTGCGTGTGCGTGTGCGTGTGCGTGTGCGTGTGCGTGTGCGTGTGCGTGTGCGTGTGCGTGTGCGTGTGCGTGTGCGTGTGCGTGTGCGTGTGCGTGTGCGTGTGCGTGTGCGTGTGCGTGTGCGTGTGCGTGTGCGTGTGCGTGTGCGTGTGCGTGTGCGTGTGCGTGTGCGTGTGCGTGTGCGTGTGCGTGTGCGTGTGCGTGTGCGTGTGCGTGTGCGTGTGCGTGTGCGTGTGCGTGTGCGTGTGCGTGTGCGTGTGCGTGTGCGTGTGCGTGTGCGTGTGCGTGTGCGTGTGCGTGTGCGTGTGCGTGTGCGTGTGCGTGTGCGTGTGCGTGTGCGTGTGCGTGTGCGTGTGCGTGTGCGTGTGCGTGTGCGTGTGCGTGTGCGTGTGCGTGTGCGTGTGCGTGTGCGTGTGCGTGTGCGTGTGCGTGTGCGTGTGCGTGTGCGTGTGCGTGTGCGTGTGCGTGTGCGTGTGCGTGTGCGTGTGCGTGTCGAGCGCGAAGTTCCCTCAGTCTCGCGGTTTTCGTTTCTGTTCCCTCTTTCTTGTGGATTCCTCTCGGGCGCTGGGCCGGGGAGGCCGTTTTCTCCCCGGAGACCGTTTCCCCTTGTGCCTGGCGCCGATGTCACTCAGAGGACGTATCCTGGCGGTGTCAGGGGCGAGAAGGGCGCCTTTGTTCGCCTTCGGAGCAGATGTCGCGGTCTGGGCTTCGCGGCGGAGTCTTCGGGCCCTGTTGGAGGAGGGAACGAGTGGTGGAGGGGCTGGTGTTGTGTTGTGGGCGAATTGACCTCCCTTCATTGCCAGGATTGCAATTTGTTTTTTTTTGTAAGATAATCTATAATAGGCCTGAGGTTAAGTCCCTATTTATGACTTCAGAAACTGCCTTCGACGTTGGTGATATTGGGCCAGCAACTTTCTCAGGATTTATTAGGAATTCTTCTTTCCTTTTCTCTGGAACTCGTAGTTAGAGGGTTGTGCATATGGGAATAAAAAATTATGACGACTGTTTATGGTTGTGTGCTGCCGTGTCAAGTAATAGTCACGGCCTCTGCATCTGTCATTCTTCTCTCACAGGTTGATTAGTCTCCATTATGCATATTTTAGCTGTAATTTGTCAAATTAGAAACATCAGAAGATATGCTATGGACAGCCAAATTTTCTGTCGGTGATAATATGACCCAGAGACAAGATGTAGAACACCTTGCGGCATACTGGCCAAGCAGCCATCCCCAAATTCCTGGCACTCTCCCAGCTTAACTAAGGACTGGGATCTGGAAATTGGGTACAAAATACCTAGCAGCCTGCAAACGAGCACAGTCGCTGTCCTCTGCTGACTGGAAACTTACCAGACTCCCCATATAACTCAACCTTAACTGCCACTCTGCCTGCAGCACCCAGCCATCACACTCACTCAGCCATCACACTCCCATTCCACTCATATACACCCAAAAAGATAGGACCAGTACCAGAAACCTCATCTACTATACTTTTGACCTTGGAGTCACCCCTACAGTGATTTGCTTGCTTGCACAGTGTACTGCAACTTGTACACAACACACTCAACATGCTAGCTAATTTGGGTCATCCTTTGTCCAGCAGCTGCATTCTGACTACTGTGTAGTAGAAACCTGCTCTGCTTACTTCACTTTCTAATGATTGGCTTGATTATTTAAGAATAATTTTCCTTGCTTGTATTTATAGACAAATTAAGTACTGAGGATTCCTTTTTCCCTGATATAGAGTTCCTTTCTAGACAGATGCCATAAGCTTAACACAATGCTTACAGTTGGCTAATGTGTATGTCATGGTCCTGACTGTGCCTGGCAGAGAAGGGGAGGGGGGAAGAGGGTGATTTGGAATTAGCTAGCTTATTGTATATGTACACGAAGGAAAGCACCAAACGACTGTTAGAGCCCACCTCAGGTTATTTCTAGGGAGTTGCAAAGGCATAAGTGCCAACAGGTAAACTTCATATGTAGGTACTTATGTGGATTTTTGCTTGTTGCAATCTGGCATACAATATCTGATAATGACATTGTGCATAGGTATGATTTTGTGAATATCGAGAGAAGACTTTTGTACCAATGTCAGAAAAAAAATTAATCGATCATTCAAGGGGTGTCAATGTGTTCAGAGTATGAGACACTAATGTTGGAAAATGAGAATATTTCAGTTTGGGATTCACTCTTAATGGTCGGTACTGTCCACCATCGACAAATTTGTTTTGATTTGAATTGGTTGAAAAGAGCACTTCAATACAAAGGAAATCTAACAAGCTGATTTTTGGACTTCATAAACATAAGTAAGATGATTATATGTATTTAAATATAATCCTTTTTGAAAATTATTATCCAGTGAGCAGCTCCCCCTCCCTCCATTTGGAGCGTGGGAAAAATCTAACAGGTTTAGTAATTCTCATACTTCATTTCTTTACAAAATCTGGTCCCTATTGGAAATAATAACTGATTGAGTGGGTAATAATATCATAACCTGTTCTCTCTTTTTTCTTTTATAAGCTGCGGTGCTATCCAGGGTTTGTAATTTTTGTACACCAGAAAATCAGTTGGTAATATGGTATGAATTGTCTAGGGTTCAGATACAAGTCAATATTTACCTATATTTTACCCAGCAATTTCTCTGGCATAGGCTCTGCTCACCCTAGTCAGGAACTATATTATAAAAGTTAGTGTAATCATTTAATGGCTATAATTTGATATTACACATCATAGGGGGTGCAATGATTCCAAATTCATTGTGTCAACAAAGTGCAGCCTCTATATAGAATTGTTATTGAAATTGTTTTATTCTTGTAGATCACACAATTTGTGTAATAAGTTCTCATTGACTTTAACTGGGTCTTAATAAATTTCAAAACTTAGTTATTAGATTTAATGTATTCATCTAAAGTGCCTCCAATATCAGGAAAGGAGATATTAACTCGCCCAGAATTCTGAAGGACTCCAATTAACCATGTCTTTTTTTGCGGGGGGGGGGGGGGGGATTATCAACTGGTGTATGTCATTGAAATATTGTATATGAGCACCAAGTGTCAACTGATTAGAATGAGAGAGAGACTGAGGAAATCAGAGTATTTCAGAATTTAGTTTGGGTTCCTAATTTTTCCTACGTGGTACTGGAACTTTCAAACCTCGGTTAACCCAAAAATCCAGAATTCCCCAGCCCTTCCTTTGCTTCCAGCTGCTGCAAAGTTTTATTGTTTACTAGGGTTGGATTTGGTCTGCTCAAAGAGTTTGATTTTACGCTTAATTTGACTCGCCAGAGAATGTATACCTCATACTGTTATGTTAATAATGAACAGTGTAGTTAGTATCATAATTAACAAAGAAAATGTTTGTCCCCCACAGTAGCACCAGGTTCCTATCCTAAGTAATTATGTGAAATTGTTATGGAAGAAGACTGTTCAAAGATTATCAAGCTGTCTCAAATCTATGTACTCTGTACCTTTACTGTATATGTTTTGAATGGTAATCATACTGTAAGGTATATCTATAAATCCACAATGTGGGTTGTGGGGGGTCTTGCAAATTCAGGATTGTCCAGAATAAACTTAACATTTATATTATGTGACAGAGTCAAGAATTGTGTAGATTGTTGCATTATTTTCTGAGTGAAAAGAATTATTAAAGCAGGAAAAGGGTAGATCGAGTACAATCACTAATATTATAGGAAAGAGGGGAAGAGTGTGAAAATGTGGTAGAATTAGGTGTGGTAGAGTCAAGGTTCCCGTGAGCCATGCTGTGTTTATTTGAGAGAAGCCAACTGTTTTCTGAATGGCTTGCTGCAACTCATAATTTCTACCAAATATCCTTTCACAAGTGGCAGAAGTACATATAGCACCCTCTCCTCAAGCCATTTTCCAATTCCATGTAGGTTATAACCCACAGTGTGAGCAAGGCATTAATATATAAACAACAAAATTTTACATTTCTTTGGGGAAGGGTCATTTTGGTAACATTGTAACTTGTGATTTATCCAGTAGGTTTCACCACCATAGCTGGAAGCATTAGAAATTTTTATGGTAGAAATGGAGAAATCTTTAGAAATTCCATTATAAAAGTTGAAATGGGTGTGTTTGTGCATGTATATGTTTTTTGGCCCATGTAGTAGTGACCACTCTGAAGAATGCTTCAAGTCATACCAGAAGAGGCAGTTAGCTTATAGTTATAAGTGGATTCAGATAGAAAAAGAGGTGAAGAAAAAAAAGGCCTGTGACAACCACAGGCTTAAATGATTTACCATCAAATTACCTGACAATTTTGAGAAAAGTGACTTACTTACAATCTGCTGCAGCTTTCAGCTCTTTTTTAAGTGGGCAAGTTCCTAGCATTAGCTGAGAAACAATCCACATAATTATTTATTTAATTTATAATTTGCATCACATTTTAAGTATTCTATTTCCCTTTGTTATTGATTTAGAGATTGAGGGATAAAGTACCATAGAGATTTTGTTTTATGTTCTGAAAATAATTAAGTAATGGAATTTTAAAAAGGTCTTTTTTTCTGAGTGTAGGAGCAGTTTTGCAGTGACATAACCTTATATATTACTCAAGTTGATAAAGAATTTGGGTGGAGTGTAACTAGTAATTTATGGACAAGTGGTCAAGTCTCACTAACATATACTTTTTTAATCTGTACAGTTGGTATGCGATAATATAAACTAACTACGACTCTTAATCTACAGGTGTGTCGCCACTACCTGGTGAAGTTTTGTCCACATGACCTCTTTACAAATACAAAATCTGATCTTGGACCATGTGACAAGGTAGGTATTTAGGTGAATAGATTAATTTTTAACAAAAATATTTTATTCTTTGTATTTAGGATTGTCTTGAAAAAATATTGAAACATCCACACACTTGTATAAATGAAATATATGAAGGTATATATATATTAATGAAAGCTATAAAAACTTGTTCCAGCCTGTCCATGATGAAGAATTAAAAAGGGAATTTGAAGCTGCCAACTCCTATCGCCGCACTGCCTTTGAAGATGAATTTGTTAGATATGCAGAGTCCATGCTTACAGAAGTAGACAAAAGAATACGAAAAGGAAAACAGCGGTTATCGTTGTCAGTTAAAGATGCCTTGGTGAGTGGTTCTTTATTTATTCATATTACCTTCTTTATTCCTGAATTATCTAGATGTGATTTGAGAAATTAAGCATAAATACTCTTATCATTAATAATTATATTGTTACAGGCTAGTAGCACAACAGGTGACGGGCGAGTAGATGAGCAGCTGGAACTCCTCTCTGAAAGAATTACAGGTTTAGTAAGTGAAGCTGAAAGACTAGGTTCAGAAGGAAATGTTGAAGAGGCCCAGGGTCTCCTTAAACTTTGTGATCAACTCCGAGAAGAGAGAGACTCGCTGCGCAGAAGTAATGAAAATTCTGTATGGCATCAGGTATTTCTATCTTGGCTTTTTTTTTTAATATGTGTGTATATGTATATATATGCTGCCTTTTGAGGAGAGAGAGTCTTTAAAGGCATATTGAGTTGATGTGGGGTTGATTCTTTTTATTGTTATTGCTTGCCTTAAACTTACCAGGCTGCGGAGATGGCGGCATCACAAGAAAAGCAGATGGAGGTGTGCGAAGTATGTGGTGCTTTCCTGATTGTAGGTGATGCACAACAACGAATTGATGACCACTTAACAGGAAAGCAGCATGTGGGTTTTGCAAAGCTACGTCAGGCCATTCAGGAAATTAGAGATGTGAGTAGTATGTTCTTTTTTTGTCTTCTTTTAGTAAAATATTCAGTAAATAGAAAGGAAGTATTTGTGTAGGGAAATGTCTTGATGATGATTTTTTAATGGATTATCATAGATCTTGATATGTTATTTTTTTCTACAGAGTCGTGAAAAGGCAAGAGCAGAGAGAGAAAGTCAGAGAGAAAAGGAGAGAGAAGAAAGACGCAAAGCCTTACAAGAAGAAGAAAAGCGTAGAGAGAAAGAAAGAGAAGAGAGGAGGAGGAAAGATGAAGACCGAAGACGTAGAAGGTATGTGAAAATGTTAACTTCTTTATTTTTACTTAAGACTGTCAACATCGAATTCAGAATAATATTTAACATTACTTACCCCAAAACATTACAACATTGCTGATTGTTTGTCATTTCCTTTTGCAGTAGTGACAGAGATCGAGATCGTGAGCGTGCAGAGAGAAGTAGGGACAGAGACCGTGACAGAATGAGGGATCGAGATTATCGTGACAGGAGACGATCACGCAGCCGAGACCGCGAGAGGAGGAGGTCTCGCAGCAGAGACAGGGATTATAGAAGTTCACATTCAAAAGACAGAGATAGGAGAGAGAAAGACCGAGACAGGTGAGAACTGGAGTTTAATCTTATTATACTTATTTGAGTTTGTTCCTGTTAATGAGAGTGTTGCAATTATTATTAAAAGTCTTATGAAAAAGTTTTAGTTTTGGAAAATGTGTGGTATATATTCTCATGCTGATTCTTCTTTCACAGGCATCACCGTTCGCGAAGTCGCGAGCATGACAGAAGGAGACACAGGGAAGAAAATGGTAATTTTTAAGTATGTCTCGT